AGAAGGCCTAGCTTAAATTTTAGGGCAATCAATGTTTAATGGATGTATTTCGTGAAAATCCACCCCCCCCCCATTTTTTGGAGGAACTCCATTCACACAATTAGGAATATACTGTTGGGAGCTAAAATTATTTTGTGAGACTGCAAAAAGCACATCAATTTCTCAGATCCCACTTCTAAATTATTCATTGAATTTGGTACTTAACAAATTTTCATGACATGTTTCGAGGATACTGCAAAATATACAAGGACCTTGAATAACTAGAGATGTTAACGTATTTATTAAACTATCGACTTTAAGCCGCGCCACAGCTCAAGCGGTTAGTTGCTGGCTTCTCACCGCGGCGGCCCGGGTTCGATCCCGGGTCTGGTCAAATGGGGTTTATTGTGGACAAAGTGGCACTGGGGCAGGTTTTCTCCCAGTACTTCCGTTTCCCCTGCCAATCTTCATTCCACCAATTGCTCCACAATCACTCTCACCTATCATCTGAGGCTGGTACAATAGGCCAGAAGTGGCCGCAGTACAAGGAACTTAGTCCCACCCCACTAGCAATAAAAAAGTATTGACTTTTTTTCTGTGCATGCAAAGAAAATAAATTCCGGAAGTACAACTATCCTATAAAAACACAAATCTTGTGGCTCCTGCTGTTCTCGCAAAATTCAATACGATAACTGTTCAGCTGCAATTGCGTAAGGCTTATCTGTATCGCTTGTCCAAGCACTGCGTCTACATGACAGATATCCGTAACCTGTTACAGTAAGCAGAGGAGACATTGCAGTATTTTATAATTAGTTTCAAAACTACACTCCCCAGGGAACACATATATTTACTTCAGTTTGAAATAAACCTCTGTAATTTCTACGGCGGATGCAAACGCACGATTAGGGAACCGGTTCTAATATATACAGGAGACGTAATTTCCTCCTGTGCAAAAACATCATTGCAATTTTCCATAACGGAGCAGGGTAATTCTTTCAATTCTCTTCATGAATTACAATTCGACACTCTCTTTAAGAGGTGATTTTCTTCCATACCTTCAACAAGTATACACCAATACACCGTCTGAAGTTGTGCCTCTAGTGGTGTTATTGTTTTATGATTTCTTTCAAACTATAGTGCTATTTCTGCATTCACTTTGCATGAGGTCTATAAAAATATATGAAATAAGTGATATTCTTATTCTCATTAGGATGTCAGAATATGCGAGTATTAATTAATAAGAATTAAAAGGGAACAATAGATTTATTGGAAAGATTAAAATTGTATCTTTGTAAGTATAAAAATTCTATTATATTGATGATACAAAAATTCAGATATACGGTCAGTAATACTAGAAATCCAGCTTGGCAGAAATTAGGCATTAAATTTTGTTCACATTCAAGTAACGGGGAACATTAGTTGAGAAGCACTCAGCTGGCCAAGAAAGCCCAGACTTTCATGCAACCCGAATGTTCACTACTGTGTGCAGAGAACTTCTATCAAGCCAGAAGAAACCTGCCCAAAAAGATAAATTATATTCATATATATCTTCCCACTCATCTACGAGTACTTCTTCGCCACATAGACTCTCTAAAGCTCTAGGTTCAAAAGCTCAATCCTTTATGCGTTCTACAAGCCCATTTCATCCTGACAGTAGTTTACACACACACACACACAACAATGACCTGTATTCCTCCCGTCTACAAAGCTTTTCTACAAATTTCATTCCGCATATACTCGTATGTTCCTATCACGGTAACCCTCCTCACACGCAATTTTACAACTACAGTAACCGCTTACATTTTATTTCTGCATTCTACGTATTATCGATAAAATATATCTAATTAAAAGACAATTTCACAACTTCGTATCATCACATATATCAGTGTGACTATGTACTGGGTTCGGATTCTTAATTGAATTGAATGTTTACAGATGGCACCTACATGTAACTATAGCCCTATCGTTAATTCACACACTCTGTTGTTCATTACAGCACATACCAAGTCTCTCTGTTTGTTTTCACTGGTCGTTTCCTGATAACGGATCCTAATAATTCCGTCTGCTTACGTCCTTACCGGCTGGCGAATATGTCTACATTGACTACACTCAGAGCCAGAGTCAGAGTCAGAGTTACTTTAGGGTGGTTTATCTCCAGTTCCGTAGTTCGTCTTGGCGACAAACCCCTTGAGGCTAACGGCTAGATTTTTTTCCAAGTGAAGACTTGCGGTAATAGTCCTTATGTAACATTCTCTTTGACGAGAGGACGGGTCTGTCGTTTACAATTGCTGCTGGACCTTACCAGTGCAATCATTCTCAGGTCCGAACTCCGTGGAACTCATGACCCCATTTTACTGTCTCACATTCAAAACTCCTCCAACCTGGAGAGCCTGGTCCCCATATTTATATCCCCCAGGAACAAGGTGGTCCAGTTAGACTCCCATGCACTTCCCTTTCCTCATGTTTTACGACTCGCAGGGCTGCGGTGGAAGGATTCGACCCTGCCTCCGCACAGGATTAATCCAGCTTTTTAGGCGTGGGTTTGAACACCAGCCCTCTGTTATGGCAGCCAACTGCTCTGCCATTGAAATAACTGTCATTCCGTATGAGCTCTTAAAAATTGCCAGAAGCGACGATATTTAACGCTAATTTGGCGGGGTATTAGTACAAGTTTTCAACTAGCATTAATCCTACTTCGGATAAAACTCATTGGTTACGATATTGCCAATTAAACTTGTCCTGTTTATAACCGTGCGGCACGGACCGCATAGGAAACATCGTTATTCTGTCGCTGTTTAATTGGTTCCATGAGAACATGTTTGTTTGAGAAGCTGTTACTCAGTAGCGGTTGTTGTATATTTACCCTTCTCGCGGTCGTGTCGCAGCAACAGGTCTTTTTTGCTATAATATATTGTGTAAAAACCGTAACAGTCTTTCAGTAAAGAAAATTACAGTACTTCTTGCTATAATATCCATGATAAGACGTAAAATTTGGCGAAAAAGTTCACTGCTGATTGAAACATCAATATCCAACATCTGAGGAAACGAAAATGTTTATCTTTGTAAATAAAACGTGTCCAATATCTTAGCAAGTCCGTATCAAATACATATCAATTCAATATGAAGGCGTCATAAAGCATACAAAGTAATATCAGAGGCTTGTAGCTTTTATAAAATAATATTATGGCATATAGAGTCGTTGCTACGTAACGACCGAGGAATAAGCAAAAATATACGACAGCCGTTACTGTGTAACGTCTTCGCAAATAAATGTTTCCACGGTAACAACTGACCTACAACAACGAGGAGTGGTGTTTCTTATGCAGTCCGTGCCGAGCTCATATAAGACGACGACTTAAAGTTTAGAAAATCAGAAGCGTAGGAGTTTGATGTGAGATGGCCGCAAGTCTGGGAATGAGTTGTGAGAGAGTCGCCGGCCAGCAAGGATGTGAATATGGAAGCTGATGAAGCTATTGCTTTGAAAGCCATTATCAGGCGACAGCCGGTGAAGATAAAGCAGACTGAGAAGATTTTGTACGTGCTGTAGCGAACAGCAGAGTGTGTGGATTAGCTATAGCGCTACAGTTACTTTTAGTTGAAAGTTGTGTGTATAAGTGTTCAATAAATGTAATTACCAATCCAAACCCCGTCTGTAGTCACTCATACCTGTGACAATACACATTTGTACACATTTCATAAGGGTAGTAATATGGTGCAAACTGTGGAAATATTATTTTGGTGTTTTAACATTGCTGAAAAAATAAATAACGAAATGCATAAACACGGAATTAATGTGGGAGTTCTCGATAAATGTGCTCAACGTCAAAATGTTTATAAAAGTTACCATAATCTTCATGTTACTGTTGATGTATCTAACCTTGAAAACGCATTAAAATGCAATTTACTTGCTCTAAGCTCTGGCGCATGGAATCCTACTTTATTACTACAACATTCCATAAACAAGTTGAATTAAAAAAAAAACTTACGTAATAAACATTACGTTACTTAAAATTAGAAAACGCGAAAGAAAATGGCAAAGTTTTCTGGAAGTATAGGATCCTTTGTTATAATTTCTTCCTTGGGCATTTCGCGTAATAAATTCATAGTTGAAAGTTACTCATTTTTCATATTATAGAACGTCGTTAAATAAGCAACATCTCGTTTGAAGAGCATGTGGAGTAATTTCAAAGTTTAAGATTAGTGCCTTTGTGGATTCACATCGTGTAGTTTGACTGATGTCCACCGGCAATCCCCCCCCCAGCCACCTTGTAACCTGAAGATTGAGGCAGCATATTTCTCAGGACATCGGCAAGCATCAAACTGCACGTCTTCACAATCCAGAACACTGCAATCATCATTGTCACCGATGTGAGAACGTCAGATCTCATTGGGTCCAAGTTTGTTCGTAATCTGGAGACGAATGACATAATACTCGTATATACTGTTCAAAGTTGCATCGTCTTAATAGCTCCAGAGAATTATCTGAATGTTGCATGTGGAAGTTGTACTTTAAAGTGCCAAATATACCATTAATGTGCTCCCTTACATAAGGCTAACTTATTACAATTGAGCACAACTCAGATGCATTCTGCTACCTCAGAACCACAGTTCTAGTAAGGACTTGCCTCATACTATATATTCAAAGATTAATTCGCAGCATTAAGCCTATCAAGAAGGTGCATAGTTTCGTCCATTACAAAGCTTATTAACTACAAGTCTTGTACTGTTTATTCATCAAGTATATTCTTCCCCCCCCCCCAGCCCCATTTCGGGCCAGGGCAACGAGATCCCCCAGTAAATGACATTCTCAAAGCCAATTTATACGTTGAAGGAAGAGTAACAGTGAAAGTGACGGACATAAAGAGAAGGCTGCGTGGAAATTAATTTCAAACAGTGTTTTCGACTTTCCTTCCTACTTGGCTTCCTCTCGTCCTTCCAACCTCAGTATTTCCCGTTGACTTGAGCTCAAAGTATCACTCCTTTTCTCCCCTTACCTTCATCCGTCGTTACCTTGGTAATTAGAGCCCCGGATCCAGAGCCAAGCAGCAGTGTGAACCATTTCCGGACTTCTCGGTGCCATAGGAAATCACGAGCTTCATTACTAACCTCATCTCCTCGCTACCACCAGATACATGTATAACGCGCCTGCGCCAGAATGCTGAGTACGGCTCCAGATAAACAAGTCTTAAAAGCATTCAGAGATGACATAGTGCACATTACGTTTCTCAAAGATAAGCAGTCATTGTTCTCAATATTCTCAGAACCAGTGGCAGGTACAATTACTGTGTCTCTGGACAATATCCATCATCCTGCGTTTATTTATACACAACGTTTCGGAGACTGGATTCTGTCTCCGTCTTCATGTGGAACCTAGACAGTTGGGTCAAATCGATGAAACGAAAGGTGTTTAAATACAAAACAGGAATCTGGATAATGTCCAGAAAAATGAAAGTTGCATTAATATGCCGTCATTGCAGCACCATAGCTCAAGCGGTTAGTTACTGGCTTCTCACCGCGGCGGCCCGGGTTCGATCCCGGGTCTAGTCAAGTGGGATTTGTGGTGGACAAAGTGACGCTGGAGCAGGGTTTCTCCGAGGACTTCGGTTTTCCATGCCAATCTTCATTCCACCAATTGCTCCACAATCACCGTCACCTATCATCTGGGGCTGGTGCAATAGGCCAGTAGTGGCCGCAGTACAAGGGACTTAGTCCCACCCCACTAGCAATAAAAAAAATGCCGTCATCACAAACTTTTAGATCTTATTTACATAACTATTACGGAGCTGGTATACGTATATCTGAAGTGAAGGAAATGTGAACGTGTTAAGATTCAGCCAGCTAAGATCTCCTATCATCTCACTTTTCTCGTGAAATGAAAGGTTCATGATTTTGTTTCCAAAGGCTTTACACTGAACGCTCCATACCACGTCATCGTTCTAAGACAACTTTACGAGCCAACAAAGACTTGCTAAGAAATAGAATCCAGTTCTACCGTTTCTAAAGGTCACATTGAACAAACAGACGATCTGGAAATATTTTTCCGGAGACCAATGAATCAATCAGATCAACTCCGTATCCTGGCAGCAGTGGAAAGCACCTTCAGAGCATCATTTTCTTAAGGAATAAACGACACACGAAGGCAGAGGGACTAACTCTGTCGGTTGAGCCAAATTGAGTTGATTCCACCTGAAGACGGAGACAGAATCCAGTTTTCGAAACGTGTTAAAAAAAACAAGACGATGGATAATGTCCAGAAACACAGTAGTTCAACTGATATATCATCACAAACTTTTACATCTTTTTAGTTTTAGATAACTTTGTAATAATAAATTGCATTTACTTTGTACATATGTTTTGACTTGAGGATTATTAACAGAGATATCTCGAGAAATGGTTGTGACCCCACCTTCAGCTCATTAGATGTTATACTTATTGATATGTTTCATCGTTTTTATATTTTCTTATATTAGTGACAATGGTCGGAACAGAACCTGCTTTTTGTCATTGCACTGGCTAATATATTTTTATATTAATGGTAGCGGTTAGGATCGAGATCTAAATGCTGCAGATGGCAAACTTTTAAGCTAACCACTACACCACGAACCAGCAAACTCGAAATTTTATGTCAGTATAACCACAACCAGACACATGAAATATCGTTATGTATTAAATATTACTTCAGAAAATGGGCAGTCCCCATACATATCTGCAGGGTAATGAGTTTAATGCTGTGACAAAAATTTGTAAAATTCAGTTCTAGCACTATTTTCAATTAAAAATAATTAACAATTACTTTTCCGTTTTGTTGCAATGTCATTTGCAGTTTCTCAAAAACAATACCTGAAACAGTTTCCTTTCCTTGGACGATACATCATTGAATATATGTTTAATACATTGCACTGTATAAAACTAATGCCATTCCAACCTCAAAGTTTGTATGGTAGGCAAGCTGGTATTGTGATGGGCCCCTTAACAATGCTGTTACCATTTACTGTGACTATAGAAGAGGAATAAAAGGTAAAAAGGTGAAGTTATCCCCGTAACAGGCCGTGGAGGCTCATGGGGTTGTGAACAGTCGAGGATCCACGTTTTCCAGACAATCGGCTCACAGATGGCGGTAAGGTTGTCAACGTTACACGCCGGCCGCCATTTACCCCCAGGAAGATTCCTGGTACGCATTTCTGTTAAAGGGTGAGTCGACCCCAGGGCCATATTGTGGCTGGAAGGTTTAGGTAACTTGAAAAAAAATCCACCTGATCGGGACTAGAACTGGCGACCTTCCAGCTTATAGCATAGTGCCGCAACCAACTACGCTATAGACGGGGTATGGAATAGTGAATAGTTTATTCAGTACTTACAGGTCATAAGTACAAATAACGATAACACTACTGTTGATTTCCACACTACAAATCCCTCCACGCTAAGCCTTCTATCCGTTTCACTAGTCATTACTGGGTAACAGCTCTCAGCAATGGCTGCTCCTCTGCAATACTTTCACTAGACATTTCCTAGTAACGGCTCTTAATACTGGAGATTCTTTAGCTTCCGGGGTAACGCCGTTGTCCTCTGATTAACACTCCACACCTGAACTCTCAACTGAACTATAAAAATTCAAAGTCAAAGTCACATTGCTACTGACAATCAGTCAGTCAGTCAGTCAGTCAGTCAATCTCCCTTTGTTTAGAGCACCATATCGGGCTCATGACCAGATATTAGTTTGACAGCTACTGGCCTG